ACAGGCAACTGGGATCAAGGGAATCCCTGGAGGTATATAGGGGATACAGGAGTTTACTGAAGAAGGAAATCAGGACGGCGAAAAGGGGGCACGAGATAACTTTGGCTGAGAAGATTAGAATGAAGCCAAAGAGATTCTTTAAGTATATTGAGGGGGAAAGAATAACTAGACAAATAGGACACATCAAGGACCAAAGTGGACATGTATATGTGGAACCACAAGAGATGGGCAAGGTCCTCAATGAGTATTTCTCCCCTGTGTTTACCAAGGAGAAAGACATGAAGTCTTGAGAATTTGGGGAAGTTAGTGGTGATATCTTGGGGATAGTCCTTATCACAATAGAGGAGGTGTTGGAAGCATTAGAATGTATGAAGGTGGATAAATCTCCTGGTCCTGATCAGATATATCCAAGAACCCTGCAAGAGGATAGGGAAAAATTGTGGGGGCTGTGGTGATATATTTGCATTATCGTCAGCCATGGGTGAGGTCCCGGAAGACATGAGGGTAGCAAATGTTGTGTCCTTATTCAAGAAGGGCTGCAAAGAAAAACCTGGGAATGATAGACCAGTAAGCTTAACATCTGTGATAGGTAAGTTACTTGAGAAGATTCTGACTGACAGGACATACATGCATTTAGAAAGACAAGGTTTGATTAGGAGTAGTCAGCATGGCTTTGTGCATGGGATATAATGCCTCACAAATTTGTTAGCATTCTTTGATGAAGTGACCAGGAAGTTTGATGAGGGCAGAGTGGTAGATGTAGTCTATATGGATTTCAGTGAGGCCTTTGATAAGGTTCCACATGGTAGGCTGCTCTGGAACATTAGATTGCATAGAATTCAGGGGGAGTTGGCAAATTGGATATACAATTAGCTTGATGGTAGGAAGCAGAGGGTAATGGTGGAAGGATCCTTGTCGGACTGGAGGCCTTTGTCTAGTGGTGGACCTCAAGGGTCAGTGCTGGGACCATTGCTGTTTGTTATCTATTTCAATAATTTGGATGAGAATGTACAACAGGAATAGTGCCAGAAGACTGGAGACTAGCAAATGTTGTCCCCTTG